CAACATGCTGGCTGGGGAATTCTGGGAGTTGAAGTCCACGTCTTAAACTTGCCAGGTTTGAGACCACTGGTTTAAATAGTCCAAAAGCTGGTTCTTCTCCAACTGTTATGGTTCTATGGATGGTTTCACTCAACCTCCTTAACAAAGTCAGTTCCAACCCATGCAGCTGTATTTGTATAACGTGCTAGACCTGGTTGGTTGTTTTTAGTCTTGAATAGTTCAGACTCATTATGATAAAGACTTTTTTACACCAATTTTCCTCCTTCTCAGTGCATTGTTCCAACCCAGAAAATGGGTTCACCCTGTAATCAGACTGAGAGTGTGAATGCCGCCAATGGAAAAAGTCAGGTGAAGACCTGTTCCGTATAACATGTAGCTTGGCACAAAGTCTTGGCTATCTCTAAATCAGTCCTGCCTCATTGCCCACCTTCCTTTTCTTTGCCCACTCTTTGAGATTTTTCCATCTTGGACTACTCTGTTCTCCTGTCCTGGCTGTCAGTTGAAACCCCAGAAGTAGCTTTACTTGATGCTTCCAAGCCAGCAGCTCAAAATCATGTCAGCTAGATGTACGTGCAGATCTCAATTTTGGATTTGTGATTAATTCAGCCTCCTTCGGAGCCCTCAGTGATTCTTTCTGTGTCTTTTCTCCTTAGTACTTGCAGCGGTCATGGGCAATGGGTCTGTGAAAACCGCGTCTGTCTTATCAATGGGGATATGATCGATGCCGTTAACAGAGGGAATTATGGGTAAGAACAAGAATTCTCTCCTTTGAGTTGATGGGGCATGGGCTAAAGTGAAGAATTAGGGTTGCATGCAGATGATTTGGTAGACCAACTAAAGAAAAAAGAAAGAAAAACTCTGCAGTCATTTATAGAACCATCACTGGGAATTAAGTCTCATGCCTTCTGCTGCGGTTGCAACAAACCAGCTGCCTTAAGTGCTTAGCCCACTCACAAATTCAGGCTCTGGGCAGGGCTGGATTCTTGCTGTTTATTCTGTGCTAATTTGCAACTGGGGAAGAGGAAACTAAGTTCACCTCACAACAGATCCAGATGTTACAATCTGAGATGGAAATACTTCCACAGCCCATTAGAGCGTACTTTCTTCGCAAAGCCAAGCTTTGTCTTTTCAGCAGATTCTCTTCCATCTTTCTTTAGCTGGAGAGCTTCCAACTACAGCCAGTTCTGGGGCATGACCCTGGAAGAGGGCATTCAGTACCGTCTTGGCACCATCAAGCCCCCCACATCTGTCATGAATATGAATGAGCTTCAAGTAAGTGATTCTCATTTATTTATTTATTTGTTAGATTTATTCTGCTTTTCTGGCAGGGACTTCACCTGGAGCGCATAGTTTTTCTCCTCTACTTTTATCCCTCCAGCCACAGCCTTGAGGTAGGCTGGGATCGCTGTGTTTGCATAACACACTCTTCGAACAGCTAGTAGTTGCATTCACACAACCCATTAAGGCGGGTTCTTTTAAAGTTTAGTTAAGGTTTTTTGGGGGTTGTTGGTTCAGTTAAGGTAGGTGGGGAGTTGTTTGGTTAGTTTATGATTTGGTTAGTTTCTGGTTTAGCGTAGTGTCCAAATCCAGAAAATGGGTTACTTTGTAACTAGGTTATGTGTGTTATGAGAACAGATCCAAGTTGCAAACATAGCCTAGCATTTTGTGTCTTTTAGATTGGTTAATATGCTAGTCTATGACTGCAATATAGATTTCATTTGAGTTAGGTAAGGATTCAGTGTAGTATATTAGTCCAGAAACTGGTGTAGTTCAATAATTTTGCTTAGTGGATTGTGTGAAAATGTTAGGGACTGTCTTGAAATCACCCATTATCATACCCACCATGGAAAAGTGGACTGTGAAGATGGTAGAACTTCCTGAAATGGCTACGTTGACTTGTGTGATTAGGGAAGGAACAATAACTACTTTTATAAACAGAAGGAAAGTGTGCTGCTCAGGTTGGGAAGGGCTGCTGTGAAGGGGGCTAGAAGCTTAATTGCTTTTGAACTAAAGGGAGAGGTGAGATGTTGGGGGACTGTTTTCCAGGATCCCTTCCTAGGCCTCTTCTGGCTACACAGAAACCAGAGCTTGGCCCACTCGGGGGAGTTTATAATCTGCGAGATCTCTTGCTTTTTTGTAGTGGTGGGGTGGGAGTGCCGCAAGAGCGATGGATGGCTTTGTTAAGGCGGGAGAAACGGTTATTCCTGGATGGTTCTGCAAAGATGCCCTAACTCAGCAACTTTTACAATTTCATTCCCAGGAGTGGAGCCCCCCCGCCTTTTTTTACCTTGTTCTTTCTCTCTCCACTCCTGGGAAAGCGATGGAAGCTGCTGATGTGGGCAGAACCCAGCTTCTGCTGCTAGCGCAGGGCTTCACTCAGGATTCGATCGCCCTCCCCTTCCCTCCGGAAAGCAAAGACCCAACGTCAAAGACATCCAAGGGAAATTGCCTCAACTCCCTTTTAAGGTGGAGGGAAAGGAAGGGGCCTTTCTAGACCTTGAACAAATCAGGGGCAATTTCTCAGCCAAGGGAGCAAGGAAGCTTCATCTCTAGGCTGCGTATCCCCAGCCGAAGGAGAGGGCCCAGCGCTGTTGACCCTCTGAGTTTGCTCCTGGGAGAGATCAAAGCTGATGGAAGGATGGCAGAAGATGAATGGTGGTTTCCCTGGACATCTATTCTGGAGGTCTCCTAACCCTCCTGAAGGCCAAGGCCGTCTGCTCCCCCCGTTCTTGCCCAGTCATTCAAATGTCCTGATTTTATACCAGTGCAACCCAGAGATGTCTTCCAGTTTGGAAGACAAACTTGACATCTTTATTTTGCCCATCCAGCTGAACTACTTTGCAGGGGTCTTGTGAGGATAAAACAGGAGAGAGAAGAGACTGATGTTGGTGGATTCACAGAATACATCAGGGTCAAATGCTTTGTGGCTGTGGGTATTGTGGGAACCCAAGGAACTGGGTCAGTTCAGTAAATCCAAGCTTGGTTTACCGTGTTGAGCCAATATAGCTGTTCAGTGTTTTGAGTTCCTTGGAGGAAAGTAGAATCTAAATAGAATATAGTAAATATTTCACAGCTAAGTTGAAATACCTGCAGCACTGAGCAGTAATATCCAAGGAATTGGAAGTGTGTTGTTCCGTTATATTGACTTCTGGCATTTGGCACAGTAGAATAGCCAGACTGTTGTGTTGTACAAATTGAAAAGAACACACACACACACAACACAGCTTTGGCATCCCTGCAAAACTTGGAATACTGGTTGTAATCTCTTGAATCAATAGTAGGAGTGGCAAGAAGGCCTGGAAAAAAAGTATCATCGTTTTGGAATCTGTCCCACGAGAGAGAAAAATGCTTTGAATGCTGAGATGTTTTGTAAGATGCAGCCTTGCAAAGGCCTTGCTGCTGCCTAGGGGAATGGAAATATTTCTTGCTGCCTGCATTTTCACAAATACAATGATTGCAAAACTCGCTCAAGTTCCTGCTCCCCTTTCCTGATTAAAAAAAAAAAAAAGAATCAATCCTAAATAACTATGCTGAAAATAGGTATTGCTCTGAGAAAAAGAGAAGACAAAACAATACTGTTGTCTGGAGAGATACTGTACTCTGCAGGGCATGGTCCAAAATGTAAAGATGGTAGACCCGACAGTGCAACAGAAGCACAATTTCTTATGTGCATCGCACAACATATCTAAAAAAAAAGTGGAGCTTCATCACACCATTGTGGCTGCCCATCTTAACTTTTTTGACCGTACGCTGGGGACATCCCTGCTCTGACTCTTATTATTGACAGAGGAGGAGTGCCTCCATTCCACGTTGCCATGAAAGAGAATAACCATTTCCTTGAAAGGCTTGTGGAATATCGGGTCGTGTTCCAGGAGGCCTTGTTGGCATCTCAGTATGTTCGTAGCCCTGGTCCCCAAACATGCTTTTCCTATGACTCTTGAGAATATTGTGCTTATGACTGATTCATTGCCTTCCTCTGCTTTCCTCTGCAGATAAACATGGCCCCCAATGAAGTGCTCCCTCCCCATTTCAATGCCGTTGACAAGTGGTCTGGGATGATCCACGAGCCGCTCGATCAAGGCAACTGTGCGGGGTCGTGGGCCTTTTCTACTGCAGGTAGCAACCCTTGGATGCAAATGGAAGGCTCCATGTGATAGAGCAGGGCAAGGTTATCCTCCATTGTGGTGGGCAAGCTGTTGTCTACTTATTATGTCCTTTGGGGGCTCTCTGATTAAAATTTTTTAAAAAATACATCCTCCCTCCAAATCCAGTCCAGCTTCATATGCGATATGACCCCACCCACTTAGTGGCACTTAGCTCCTTAAAGCATCAATTACTGGCCTTGGCCTTCAAAAGGTTGCCAGCTTTCTCTTCATACTGAAGCACATAGGAGACATGGCCTTATATTCCATTTCATCTGCATAGATGTTTATCTCCATATCATCTAACATAGGGACCAGATGACAAGACCCACAGTTTCTTTGGGCTTGTTGTCTCACTTCCAGAGGAATTTCAGAGATGCTGGCTTCCCCATTGAATGCATTGCTTGCTCGGTTCCTCCCACTTAGCTTTGAACGGTTTCTGAAAATCTCTTAAGGACCTGCAGGATTGGAGATATATAGGAATATATTTTGCATCAACATTCTCAAGCATCATCTCATTCCTTTTTCTCATGTCAATGGGATCGCACTTAAATGCCCCTCTCTTCCCTGCCCCTTATTCTCCCTCTTCCCATTCTTCAGCCCTAGATCTGCAGCTGGAGAGTTGGCTGCAGGAAACTCAACAGGCTTCTGACCACAGGTATCTTTTTCTCTCCAGCGGTGGCCTCTGACCGGATCTCTATTCATTCCATGGGACACATGACACCTGCCTTGTCCCCCCAGAACCTGTTGTCCTGCAACACTCGGCACCAACAAGGCTGCAGTGGGGGCCGTGTGGATGGTGCCTGGTGGTTCCTGCGCAGGAGGGGGTGAGTGGCCAATTGTCCTATTCTGTAAATGAGCCTGGGACAATTTGGACTTTCCAGTGAGGTCAGCAACGTGGGTATAGTGGAAGAGACGTTCATTTCCAAGTGGTACAACCTACTATGGCATTTAAGACCGCCAAATTTTGATAGCTGCCAAGAGCCTATTAAGGAAGGGTCATGAAATCAGCTGGTGGACCTTGATTTAACCAAAATGCCAAAGCAGTTGGCTTTTGGACGAGGACATAATTCTAGTGAAGCTTTCCCTCTCTGCTTCTCTACCATGCAGTGCAGTCCTTACAATTTGCAGAGGATTCTTGGGAGCAGGGGTATCCACATGCTATGGTAAAAAAAAGTCAAGATGGTCGCTGCAACAGTGTGATCAAAGCTTTGCCTGGTTTGTTTATGTGTGTTGCATCACATGTGCAACACACATAAAAACCAGGAACAGCCTTGATTGCACTGTTGTGGTTGCCATATAGACTTTTTTTAGCACACCCTGTGGACATTCTGACTTGGGAGCTTCTGAAGTTATGTATTCAGCCTGTGTCATCTGCTTCAAGGAACTTTGTAGGGACTACATTTTTGCTTCCCAACCAGTGGTCGTGATGGGTCGGTGTCTTTCCCAGAAAACTGCCTGCACTCGTTTCATTGGCCATGTACTTGGAAAACTACTAGCCCAACCTTCCCCAAGTTAGCACTTTCCAGACGTCCATTGTCCCTGGCCAGCATAAAAGATGGGTATGCTGTTATGGGTTGTAGAAGGCTCACATATCGGGAGATCACCAGGTTAGCGTAGCTACTGACATTATGAATGGAGGGGAATTAGCATTTATGGAAAGCTTTGGAAGTGGGCAGAGGGAATGCAAGTTTTAAAGGAGCTGTAGATCAAGACTTAGGGCCAGACTATATGTGACAGTAAGCACACAGTTTGGCATTGTATATATGATTTTTTGAAAAGTGCAACCAAGCTGGCACTGAGATGGGAGAACAGTCAAGACTGAGACCATCAAGAAAACAAAACAAAACCAGGTTTCTTTCTCTACCTTAACCTTGATCAAAAGGAGGAACAGAAAGCTCTGCTATCAAAAACTGCTTGAGAGGGAAACTTCTATGGACTGGAAGGGAAGGAATAAACAATGGCCTTGGGTCAGTCACCAGTCTGGATCACATTTCTCTAGGTTGTTATTTATCACCCCCATCCTCAAGCGGGGCCAAGCTAGCTCGTCAGCAAGTTGATCTTTGGAAGTGAGCCAGCCAGTTGCTGAGTTCCAAGCCACCTCCATATCATCCTCTTTTCCCCCTCTGGTCTTCTAGGGTCGTGACAGATGAATGCTACCCCTTTACCAGCCAGGAAAAAGAAAGCTCCCATGCCAGTCCGCCATGCATGATGCACACCCGATCCACTGGCAGGGGGAAGAGGCAAGCCACGGCACGTTGCCCCAACCCACAGACTGACTCCAATGAGATCTACCAGTCCACCCCAGCATATCGTCTCTCCTCAAATGTAAGTCCTGCTTTTTCTTGTTGGGAAAGTTCATGGGGCAGGGTCAAGGGCTATGGGGAATGGAAGCATGGCCAGACTGACTTAATGCCTTCCCATTAATTGGCACTTAATGCAAGTAGAGTAATGGTCAGCAACCTTTACAGGTCCTGAGGGTAGTTGGACAATTTCTCCCAAGAACTCAAGAACTTCTCCTAAATAATTCAGAAGGTATTGTGTAGGGATGTTACCCCTGTTGATTAGCGACTGGACAAGATTTCAACCCCCTTAATTTCAGTTAATGATTGTTTCCTAATGCCAACCCTTGATCTAGTATCATTTGGAAAGATGGTCCATGCTCCATCAGTAGCTGGGAAAAAAGGCGAGGGATTTCTCATTCCTCCATGTCAAGTTCCATCCAACCAAACTGTCATCTTCCACACAACTCCTAAGCATGCAAGATTCCAGCTCCCCTTTGAATCGAGTTACCTTCCCTCTCCTGTATCTAAATAAGGTCAGGGAAATAAAGGAGTTAAACTAAACTGGGCAAATGCAGCTGTTAACAAGGACAATCCTCATTTTTACACAAATAACCCCAGAGGTCCCAGCAAATTTCCATGGTAGTGTGGGCTCCCTGGTATGAGAAGAGTTTAAGTGAGATTCCTTGGATGCTAATTACAGTATTACTTTCCTGTCCACCCTGTGGAAAGGCAGCTTTGTGACAAGCCTGCTGGTCTCTGCTGTAGTATAATGCTGCTTTTGCATCTGTTGTTGTTGTGGCTTAAGGGACAGTAATGCACATTCATGCAACGCATAACTTTTTTCTGTCTTTTTCTCCCAAAGAGACTCATGATATCCTCTCCATGAAGGCTGATGAGTGTCACCATTGGCATCATGCCCTCCTCCCCCCACTTCTATACTTTCAGAGATTTGCATTTCTGATTTGGTCTTTTGCCTCAGGCAGGTTGTCCCCATGCAGAAGGAAAAAGGACCAAAAGAGGATAAAACATGGCTGATGCTCAAAGGTGGCAAACGTCATCCAGATGTTTCAAGGAATATAATTATCTTCAGTATTAAATGCTGGGTCTCATTTTAAAAAAAGTGCCAGAGATGGCCTCCACGTGTTGCATGTTTAAAGGTCCTTCTTGAAGCAGCCAAGATGCATTGACTGTCATAGATCTAAATGACTTTAAAGAAGATTGGGCAGACCTGTAGAGGAGATAGTCAATGGCTTAACTCCACTAAGGCAAGGAGAAGGTTGTGACCCATTTTGGTACAGCATGTACAGAATGATTCCAAAACTGGGTGGCGCCAGGACCTATTTCAGCAGGACAAAATAAGAGATAAAATGGGTACCTTAAGCCCAGCAAAACAAAAGACTAGGAAATGGTATGTGCCCCTGAGCTATACATTTTGCATCTCTGAAAGGAACCCCTGTGTTGAAATTCTGGGGAGCAAAGAGAAGACAGTTATGGTCCTTGGGAGTCTCCATTGCTAAGTAATGTCAGCATGATTTCATATCAATGTTTCCTTAACTAAGCACCTCTAAATGTGCAGTATTACAGCATACATTGATCCCCTGACTCTAACCATAGTGGCTGGGGATGATGGACACTACGGAGCACCAGGATGGGGAAGGCTGTTAATAGGATCAGGTTGGCCCTCGAGAGACCAGAACACTAGCTCCTCCTATAGAAAGGAGCCAGGAGAAAGGAACAATTCCTTTTGATTCTCTGTTGATCTAACTTCTGCCTTTTCCTTGCAGGAGAAGGAGATCATGAAGGAGTTAATGGAAAATGGACCTGTGCAAGGTGAGGTGGGCTCTCTGAAATGCACATCTGGGTGGAAAGTCATACAAAGGAGAAATGATTTGTTCTGGAAGGTGGTGGCCCCGTTGTCCCATTTATTAGCATCCAGTGTCTGCACCTCTTAGGAGAATGATTTGTTCCCAGACTACTAAGAATCAGAAGACTGCTATGTCAACAGTCAGTTGCAAGCTTCCCCATTGTCAGTGAGTGGACCAGCCCCCTCCCGAGATCATAGGAAGGTTGCTAGAAAGACAGTCCGAAGGCCTCTGCCCTACGTAGGGACATAATGGTTTGAAATGGGAAATAGTCCAGTTGCTGGAATTCTTGTAACCTATCTACTTCATCTCAATAAATCTTGCTAAAGAGAACTGTGTGAGAATTGTGCATGGAAAGAATCACTCTTTGGCAGCTAATTCCAGCAATACAACTTTTTTTATTTAACCCATTTATCCCCATGAAGACTTTCCGATTTTCTTTTTAACAGCCTTCCTATGATCTGGTGAAGAGATAGGCTCAGTGATAATGGAGGAGTTTTCAGCTGGCTGTTTACATGACGGTCTCTCGAATCTTAAGCTGCTTGGAAAGTCACAATCCCACTTTTCAAAAGGAAAAAGGCAAAAGGAAGCATCCTTTAATTGGTGTATAGCATAGCATAGCATAGCATAGCATAGCATAGCATAGCATAGCATAGCATAGCATAGCATAGCATAGCTTAACATAACATAACATAACATAACATAACATAACATAACATAACATAACATAACATAACATAACATAACATCAAGCATAACTTAACATCAAGCATAACACAAATGAGGGAGTTAGGAGATCTGCTGAAAAAAGGAGCCCTTCTTAGCCACAGATAATTGACCATCATTGGATTCCCACAACCTGCTGAAGCCTGAACCTGGGTGAACAAAAGGCAGTGTTGTTGGGCATGGCCATAGCTGTGTTCCCAGATTATGCAGTGGCCAAACAAATGAATCATGTGGGGACTTGACCTGGTTCACAGGCTTGCTTCTCTCACAACTCATTCAATGCCAAACCTTTCCCCTGGTCTCCTGTTTGTAGGAATATAGGCTTTCTTTCCAATATGAGGTATTTTGGCAGGGTGGGGGCTGAAAAGTCAAATGTGAGCTTGCTGGAAGCCTTAAGGAGGGTAGGAAAATCAGCAAGACCCCCACTGCAGTTTCACAGCACGATTATTGCAGTCAGTGGGTGGGACTGGTGGTGTTGCCCCGTCTGCATTTAACCAGATTATTAAACATACCTAGCTGTTTCAGGCAAGCGTGGATAGTTTGGGTTAGCAAACTAGTTAGATAGTTCCAGTTTAGCAGCTTGTGTGAACATACCCCTTGTGGGTATTAGATGATTCAGTACCTTCTGTAGATCTAGAAAACGATTCGGTCAACCTTAAGTGTGTTGTGAGTTTGTTTTTGAGCAGCAAAGCTTTTTCCACACCAGTTTTAAGCAGGATGTGCAAGAAAGTGGTGGCGCCGAGCAAAACTTGGTTGGGCTCAAAAAAGTTAACCAAGATTTAGCTGATTAGCATTTGGATGGGTTGGAAATACCAGGGCTGTCTACCAAGGAAATACCAGGACAGCTAAAAACAAAAAATCCAGGAAGAAAGCAATGAAAAAACATTTCCATAATGCTAATTAAAAACCTGTATGGACTTGTCCAGGAGGTCACCAGGAAAAGGAAAATTAGCAACCTTGTCTCGGGATAATAATTTGCCAATAATGGGTCAGGAAATGGCGCAGACGTGCTGCCAACACTCTCAGGGCAGAAATGCCAGTTGCATTAGGGCAACCCTGAAGCAAGCTGAGGAAACCAGCTTTCAAACCTGCAGGATGCCTAAAATGTCTCCTCCTCTGCATCGCAAAGGCTTTTGGGTTGCAACAGTCCACAATGTTCTTGTGACACCCCCACCCTCACTTCCCTAAGTGGGGCATCCTTAACATTTCAAGGTTCCTATGGCTGAATCGGGGAAAACCAGCCATCTGGGAAGTTGGGGTAGAAGTTGCCCTAAGATGCAGTTAAGGTTGGCCTTTGGAAGCCTAGGGGATTAATCTTGAGAGGGCTCAACTCTGCTCTTCAGCTTTCTACAACTGCATGAATGGAGGATGCGAAATGTTGTGCCTTGTCAAGGTGTCATTAAGCTTGTGTACCTTGATGGGGAAGGCAGGACAGCAGGATTGCCACCCACAGGCTGTGTCTCTTGACCATAAGGGGGTCCTTCCTGCTCCGTGTTCTGCCCAGGCCACAAAGAGTCTTGCACACGTGTTGGAGTTTGTGCCTCCTCCTCTTCGGTGCAAGAAGCATAGAAACTGGGTGGAGAATTTGACAAGCTGTTTCTGCCCAGCTGCAGACTTAATTTTTGTACTATGGATGAGCCCAGAAATATGGGGGGTTGAGTTATGAAGGGTGGGGTGTTCATGCCAGACCCTTTCCTATTGTCAGGCCTAGCCCAAGGAACTCCAAGAGACCATGTAAAT